CTCCGTTTCAGGCTGAAAACTCTGGGTCTGAAAAGACCCAGAAATAGGCTGAAACGAGGTAGGGCCTGCAGGCCCTCGTTTTTCAGCATCCAGGCTGAAATGAACGGGGCCTGTAAGCCCTAAGTTTTAGGCTTTTAGGCTGAATGTCCGGGACGGGCCCTGTAGGGCCCGTGTGGCTACGCAGTATGCCACACTATGGGTCTTATTTACTGTGAATCTCCTCTCGTGGACTATTCCCTATGGTACAACTTTGTTTCTTCGGTCTCCATTGGGCCCTATTGCCGGGCCTTCTACCCTACTCCTGCTTCTTCCCTCCTGGAGGGGTTACCGTTAAACCCTAAACCCTATTGACCATACACCCCACTCTTTTCGTGAACTACCTCTTCTTCCATCTCTCCACTGTCTCCCATATCTTCTCCCTACTGCTTATCCCCTACGAAGATGCAATGCAGCACACAGGTAGACGTGGGAAATGATACTGAACCCAACTCAAAGAGCCTTCTTTCCTCACCCACTTCAACCCTCTCCTCCCGTCATGAACGTGGTTCACTCTGGAACCAGACTCTTTCTGACGCGGGTGGGCACGAGGCTTCCCTCCTCCCCACCCGCACCCACCTCACACTCCGCCCCCAGCATCCAGTCTCTTTCTGATTCTACCATCTCTTCCCCCTTCCCCTAATACCTTATCCCGTCGTAATGCTTGTGGTATTCAGACAGGATGCAAAATTGAAGTTTGGCAGCCCACCGGAAATCCGGAAATGAAGGGATGAGTCGGATGACTAATCAGTGGATAAGCAGGTGAGTAAGCAGAACGATTGGAGAGAAGTCAACATGACCACAACTCTGAACGCAGAAGCATGAGTCAGACTTGTTTTTCCAAACCAGGGTGAAGAGGAATGGATGTAGCCAAACACAAGCAGAATCACTGTCAACAGGGACGATTCAGACATTCCGAAATGTCCAATTTGCAGGAATACTATTGGGCCTGTCAGAGTGCAGACTTGGGACGGAGGTTGCAGGTTCTGGTTTCCTACACTTGGTTTCACATGCCCAATATGTGTGTGTGTTTGTGTGTGTGTTTTGAATTTTCACCACAACAGCCACCCAGATGAGCAGATCCAAAATCAAAGCATATTCAGTCCTATTACAGAGAATGAAAGCCCTTGAGTTGAGACAATGTGTGTGTGTGTGTGTGTGTGTGTGTGTGTGTGTGTGTGTGTGTGTGTGTGTGTGTGTGTGTGTGTGTGTGTGAGAGAGAGAGAGAGAG